AACTGAAGAAGTCAGTGAATTATAAAAAAAAGAAGAAGATGGGCCCGGCGCGGTGGCGCAAGTGGTTAAAGGTCCTCGCCTTGCACGCCCGGGATCCCATATGGGCGCCGGTTCTAATCCCGGCAGCCCCGCTTCCCTTCCAGCTCCCTGCCTGTGGCCTGGGAAAGCAGCAGAGGATGGCCCAAAGCTTTGGGAACCTGCACCCGCGTGGGAGACCCGGAAGAGGCTCCTGGCTTCGGACCGGCACAGTATCGGCCCGTTGCGCTCACTTGGGGAGTGAATCATCGGACGGAAGATCTTCCTCTCTGTCTCTCCTCTCTGTATATCCGCCTTTCCAATGAAAAAATAATAAAAATAAATCTTTAAAAAAAAAAAGAAGAAGAAGCAGCAGAAGAAGAACAGAGCAGCTCAACAAAAGACTAGATAAAGCAGAAGAAAAAAATGTGAACCTGGGCCAGTGGTACAGCATCCTATACAGGAAACAATTTGTGTCCCAACTGTTCCACTTACAATCCAGCTCTATGCTTCTGAACGGGGAAAACAGCAGAGGATGGCTCAAGGTCTGGGATGCCTGCTTCCAGGTCTGGCTTCAAGTCAACTTAGCTACAGCCACTGGTTCCACTTAGTGAGTGAGCCAGTGGATGGAAGATCCCGCACCCCCTCTGTCACCCCTTCTCTCTGTAGATCTGCCTTTCAAATTAGATAGTAATAACAATTAATAATAATTAATCTTAAAATTAAGAAGTTACCATTAGGTGAACAAATGTTCACAATTTGGAAGGTCAATACAATTTAGAAATAGGAAAGGAAATTTATTTCATGAAATAGTTACTGAAGCTTTCCCAAATCTAGGGAGAACCATTGACATCCGATCCATGAGCCGGAATGGCTTTTATGCAGCTACAACCCAAAAGTCATCACCAACACATATTACAATATTAATAACAAATCTTATAAGCCAAAGAGAATTTTCAAATTAGCAAGAGAGAATGAAACTCCTGAAATAGCAGAATAGAAATCAATAACTCCAATTTAATCCACAGAAAACCAGCTAACACTGACCATCAACAGGTTATAACAGAAAATATCTCAGGGCTCAAGAACGATGCATTAACAATCCTTCGGGGTCATACTGATCAACGAAAACCACAGAAAGAAGGCAAGAGAAATGAACCTGTCTCATCACAGTCTCCCTTCCCTCAGCTGGTAAACCACCACTGGAACTAACTGCTCTGGACTCAAATTTTTATGTTTAAAAACCTAATCAATTCTATATAATATATAATCAATACACATTATAATATATATCCCACTGTCTGATTTTCTAATCAGCTTTCTTACACAGTTCATGTATGCTACTTACATTTATCTAACACTTTTCTAGGCTAGACTAAGACTTCTTGAGTTTAAATTAAAACAAGCCTGTGCATAGAGTGACATCTAGTGCTTGAAAGGGGGCAGTATTTCTCAGACAAACAGCAGTAAATCTTCATAGGATTCCCATAAACTATAGAAGACACAATTGATCAGTGAAAAATAAAAATCAAAAACTCGTAACTTTTATACATGATCCTCAATGTACATTTATAAGAATCACAAGCTCAGGCCCGGCACAACAGTGTAATGGTTAAGGTCCTCGCCTTGAATGCACCAGGATCCCATATGGGCACCAGGTTCTAATCCTGGCAGCTCCACTTCCCAGCCAGTTCCCTGCTTGTGACCTGGGAAAGCAGTCGAGGACAGCCAAAAGTCTCTCCTCCTCTCTGTATATCTGACTTTCCAATAAAATAAATAAATCCTTTAAAAAAATTTACTCTCAGAGAACTTATATTGCATCGAGTATATATTGTGTGTTTATTGTATATTGTGTGTATATATAGTGTATCAAACTATACTCTACATATAGCATATTATATATAATGTGTATATTTTGTATATATATATATACACACACAATATAATATGCACACATCAACACACTATTATATATATACTATATATTGTAGTAAGTGTTGTATTTGGGAACCCATGAAGGCTGAATGGGGAAAAGATGTGCTGATATTAATCATAGGAAGAAAACTGAAGAAAAGTGAAGTAACCGCATTCCAGAATGGGAGTTGAAGAGAGTCTCGCAGTAGAAATGTAACAGAAAGAAGCAGTTGAGGAGCAGTGTGGACAGTACAAGCACGTAGCAGTGAGTGGGTGAACACTGGTGACTTCTGCAGCTAGAGGCTGGAGGAGAAAGTGAGGTGCGATTAGACTGTGGCAGCCTCTATGTGACCTGGGTAAGGGGCAGAGCCGGGCTGGGCTAATTGACTGTACCCACTGGTGCATGCATAAGCCAGGGTAAGCGCAGGTTGGTTTGGCTGTGCCACAGCATCAGCTGGCAAGTGCTGGAACTAGGAGCAAATCCTGTCAAACTGGACTTCAGAACTACCTGCAAAGTGCAAGATCAGGGACTGGGAGTGGGCCTTGTAGGGAAACTGTGGGCACCTCACTGATAGGTTACAACTCCATGGGTGAACATGAGAACCAGGGCTAGAGGTGGGGCTGGGTAGACAGGTGGTAGTACCCACGGGCATAAATGTGGGCTGGATAGTGGGGTCAGTGGCGTAATCTAGGCTTCAATGCTCATTTACGTGTATGAGAGCTGAATGGGATATGGAACAGACTGAACCAGTCTTCCTGCACATATTGGCAAGCATGGAGTGGTGGCTAGTGGGGGACAATGGGGGTCACTTTGACTAGACTGCAGCTCCCACTGGTGTGCGTGAGGGCCAAGTGTGTAGTGGACAGGGTTGGGCTGGGTGCAGCATCCACTGGTTTACATTAAGAGACCAGGCTGGAGACAGAACTGACCTGGCAATTGCAACTACCAGTGTGTGCATAGGCTGATGTGAGAGACAGACTGATCCTGACCCCATACTGGCAAGCACACACAAGAATCAGGTCTGGGATCACCTCAAATGAGGTTTCTTTCGGGATCCCCTCAACTGAACCACTGGACTCAAAACCCCAAACATGGGAGAACTGCAGGTTCCCTGGTCTGACAGTGGAATGCATGTATCAGAACTGGGCTTCCGCAGTGGCTTAGGCGGAGCAGTGGACGGCATGCTCAGATGCAGGTGGAGGATATGGCAGTCCCATTGAGACCTGCAGAGGACATCTGGTATCACAGCAGAGGAAGGAGGGCAGAACAAAATGGTCAACTGTGCCAGCCAAGCTTGACAGCTAGTAACTGGGCAAATGGAGACTAAGGTGGGCTATGTCAGCCAATGGACATTGGATTTCCTCATCCTTGGATCAGTAAAATCGACAGCATTTCAGAACTATCAAAACCTCTCGAGCAGAACCCTCTGAGCATGCTCTACATTGGGGACCCTGGAATGACATTGGGTGGTTGTTCCCCATTCCTGGTTACTGAGGCAGTTGGGAGGGTAGGTGCAGCTTCTCCCCTTATCGCCCCCTCACCCCCAGATACAGGAAAAAGAAAAAAAGAAGGAAGAAACAATGGTCTCACCCACTTTCTCCTAATCCTAGACCCTTCCCACCCTAATCAACTAAATAGACATCATCAAAAAATAAATTTTAAAAAACACACCTGAAAAACAAAGACAATATAATTCCCCCGAAGTAACACAACAGCACCTCAGTATGAAAATGTGAAGATTAACAGACTGATTAAAAGTCTGAAAAAGGAATTCAAAAGAATTATAAGATTGTGCAACAATGCAGAAAAGCAAACACAGAGATGAATAAATCCACACACATGAGTGAAAAATTTGGTGATAAGTAAACAAAATGAAGAAAAATGAAACTGAAATACTGGGAATAAAGAGTTCAATTTGTCAAATAGAAATATAGTGGAAATAAACAACAGACTTGGTAAGGTAGAAGAAAGAATGTCTGAGCTTGCAGACAAATCCTTGCAATTCCCCAGTCAGATAAAAAAAACAAAAGAAGGAAAAATTAGAACAACTAAAAATAGTGCTCAAGGTTTATGGGATGGAACCATACATCAGTCCCATCCAAATAGCCACAAAATATTTAAACACCTTGGTAACAATTGAACCAAAGCTGTGAAAGATCTTGGCAATGAAAAACCCAACACATTAAAGGAAGACAGACCACATATAAAAACAACTGAAAAGAATCACCCATATTTGTTCACCGATAGATTTAATGTAATCAAAATGTCCTTATTACCCAAATCAATTTACAATTATAATACAATCCCAATAGAAATACATAAGATACTTCACTCAAGTCTAGAACAAAAACTATGCTAAAATTCATATAGAAACACAAGAGATCCTAAATAGCTAAACTAATCTGTAAAAAGAAAAAAGCTGGAGATGTCAGAATATCAGATTTTGAAATATACAAAAGGGCAATTATAATCAAAATATACTAGTATTGGGAGAAAAATAGACTTGCAGACCAATGGAACACAATAGCCACCCCTAAAATTAACTCATACATCCAAGCAAATTGATCTGACAAGTGAACTAGAAATCAAACCATGGAAAAAGTCTCTTCAACAAATGGTGCTGGGAAAAAATTTTCCCTTAAGTATGCAGATGACATCGGTGCTTGAAATTCTGACTGATCTAGGAAGTATCCCTGTTCACGACCTCATTATTTGCTCTAAGTATCACAGAAGGATAGTCACTGCTATGATACCTTAAAAGAAATGGGCCCCGAGATACAAGAGGAATGATCCCAGGCATAGTACACTGTCCTTTGTCTTAGGTCTCAGCTCAAACACCCTCTTCCCAATTGTCAAGACTTACTATTGTACAACAATTATAGAAATTGAACTAGAAAGTGTCTTAAGAGATTTCCACTTTAAACTACCAAGGAAAGAAGCTAATATCTACTGGGAGTGATTTCCAACTAACCAACTCCACTTCAAAGACCAGAAGGCGTTCCACTGTCAGAGCCATTTCAAAAAAAAAAAACAAAAACAAAAACCATTGATCCTCCTCTCCTTTCCTTTCCTACCTTGAGCCTGTGCCTCTCCCTAGTACCTTTGTCAGGGCCCCCTTAACATCCTTGTTCCTTAAGGAATAAATCAGAGGATTGAGCATGGGGGTAACAATCGTATAAAAAAGAGCAACAAACTTTCCCCCCTTCTCCGAATAACTGCCAGTGGGTTGGAGGTATGTGTAGATAGCTGAGCCATAAAAAAGGGAAACCACAAGAAGGTGAGAACCACAAGTCCCAAAAGCCTTTCTCCGTCCAGCCACTGACTTGACCCTCAGCACTGCCATAGTTATATGTACGTAGGAGACAAGAATTAGTACCGCTGGAAAGACCAAGATTACCGCTCGAGCCACAAACATCTTTGCCTCTGTTCCTCCGGTGTCCTCACAAGCTAACTTCAGGAATACAGGCATCTCACAGAAGAAATGGTTTAAGTGATGGCCACCAAGAGGCATGGCCATCATAAGACCTGTTTGAATCAGAGAATTTATAAAACCACCCAACCAGGCGACAACAGCCAATGCCTGGCAAAGAACGGGGTGCATAATGGTCATATAGTGGAGTGGACGGCAGATGGCAGCATAGCGATCAAAAGCCATTACCACCAGGAGCATACTCTCAGTGGAGCCCAACGCAAGGACGACGAAGAGCTGGGCCACACACCCTCCATAGCTGATGGTGCGGTCAGATCCTCGAAGATTGATCAGAAGCTGGGGCACAGTGCTTGTAGTATAGCAGAGATCCAGGAAGGAGAGGTGGCAGAGAAAGAAGAACATGGGTGTTTGCAGTCGAATATCCAGTTGAGAGAGAGCAATAATAGTGGTGTTGCCAAAAAGAGTTAGAGAGTAGAAAATCAAAATAAAGATGAAAAGGAAGACTTCCAACCGAGGCCAATCTGAGAAGCCCATCAAAATAAAGCCTTCTATGAAAGTAGTGTTGAAACTTCCCATAGCCTTTTACCCATCCAATCAGTACGAGAGAGTTTAACACCTCTTATAAAGAATATGGATTAAAATTTTATCTGCAGTACATCTTAGTATATGTGCTGCCGAAGCGAGCGTTGTCTGCAGTACATCTTAACTCATACATTTTATTATCTGCAAGTAGGTTTGCCCTCACAATGTTTTTTTTCACATCCTCTCCTATTCTTACTCTTTTATTTAGACTGAAAAATCCCTGGATTGGGAATACTATAATCCTGCTATCCACGTGTTTGATGACTTGAGCCTGGCCAGTCACTGACTGTGGTGTTGCCTTGTCTGACACCACAAACACAGTAATGTGAAAACTACTTTTAAACGTGCAGAGCAATAAAATATAGCACTGTTCTATATACTTCTCATTTGTTTCTTTTCTTGATCTGTTAAGAAATCTGTTTCAGCACGGTAACATCCAGGACAAAGTTAGAGATGATAATTTTAACTTCTGGCTCTTCCTCTGCTGCCTTCTGTTCAATGGACATGCTTAGTGCACCAATGATGTAAATCCCACTTGCAACCAGCAAAGGAATTAGAAGAATTTAGAGTCATACCTTTTGGAAGAGAAAAAGACAGTTAGTAACAAATATATTTATTATAATGAATCATCACAAATTAGATTCTGCAACTGACAAATTTCTCAAATCCCCAGCTCTTCTTCTTCTATAACTTCTCTTTGTGAAGTTCCTGTCTAGAACATGTAACATTTTTTACATAACTTTATGTATTTGTTCCCCTCTTAGCTGTGAGACTCTGTTGTAAAATACAACGCACATGAAAGTAAATGCCAAAAAAAAAAGTAAATCTCAGTGTCTTTCTTTATGGTAAACAGGAGGTGGCAGATTAATATTGCTTTTATTCAAAACTCATAGTAGCTTAAGTATTTTTGCTGAGTGAACATTTATTATCTCTTCAAATTTCATGAAAGTTCCTACTAGAATAATTAGTGCAGAGTAGCTGCTAATACACTTTGTTCAATTATGTAATTGAGACGCGCATTCAAAGTTACTCCTCTTTAAAAAGTTGACATATCTTGTGTTAAAAATATCTAAGCAACTATAGAAAATGTGTCACATCTTGAAAAAAAGAAACAAGTTATCAAATACAGTATTGTGCATGCTCAATATGAACAAATATTACCAAATTTAACCATTACTCTTTTCATTAAGACTGATGAACTGTAAGAACATTAGTTACAGATTAATGCTCATCAAGCATTCTGAATAAGTATTTTGATGCTGACCTTGCTTCTGTTACAGAAAATAGAGAAAAAGATGTGAATTAAGAAAGCATTAATTCACATGAGCTGAAACATACCACAACCAGTTTTTAAATGGCTACCAAAAGTTGAGTTCAACTGAGTTGGAAGTGCATACTCAGATTCCCACAGCTTATTTCTGGCACTAACCATCTCTTCCACTTGTGCTGAAATTCATTTTTGTGTGTTTTCAGTTTAATTAACTGAAGACGTAGAAAATAACCTGGTTCACAGAATTATTATCATGATAGAATGATCTTACAGCTTCTGCATGTTACGAATAACAGACTATGTACACTTTCAATACTTCAATGCCTGTACCATTAATGTTTAGGTATCATACAAACGTACCTGCTTTTAATTCACCACTATATCCACATTGCTCATTGTAGCACTTAGAGAACAAGAGGATCTCAAGAAAGATTTTTGAATGAGGTAAAATCATTATGACGGATAACTATGAATTCCCCTCTCTAGCATTATCCTTAGCACACATAAATATTTCATAAATATTCGTTTCTGTGCAACATGAGGAATTAACACAACTGCAATGTCACCAATGAAATAAAATTTTGATGTTTTCTACTCCACATTTTTATTAACAAGCAGTTGATATTATATGGATTTGCTTAATACATTTGCAACTTGGAAGTGACTTAAAATTAGCAGTCACTGATATAAATGTTAGAAACATAATCCCAATGGAATTCAGCATGATAAAACAAGAAATAAAAAGTCTTCCATGTAGATAAAACAAACACCAAGAAAGAAAAATCTAAACCTAGGTTTGAAACACTCAGTTTGACAAAAGAAGAACATAGCATATTAAACTAGCAACCTGAGAGCCATTTGCTTTTAAAACAAAAAGACAAAAATGATCTGGTGATATGATGACAAAAAACCTAACGTAAGGAAGTACAACCTTGTGTTTCTGTCAAATTGCAACAATTTCAAGCTCAGAATGCTTAAAATCCATAACTTGGTGCCTAAAAGTCATTTTTTCATAATTCTTTACACCTCCCAGTTCATGAATCCTCTATACAGGATATCAATATTTAATAAATCTCTAATGAAATCTCAGACTAATTTCCTAATTCATAGTTTGTGATACCTTATTTTCGTTATCTGTCAGCTTCCTATTTCCACATTTGAATCTCTTTCTTGGATTCCTTGAGCTACAGTCAATAATTTTCCTACTAGTGTCCTTAACTCTTTCTCATCGTATTCAATTGTGGAATAATCCAGTGCTCTGTCTCCATGAGCAATATCATGTCAATACTGAACTATCTTTTCACTTTTACAATTATAGTGCCTGGAACAATGATTGGCAAACACACAAAACTGTTCATGATGTCTGTGATAACTGCAGATACTCCCCTGCACCAATAGGTTGCTGTAAACAGCTGATGTTTCACTGCATTTTCAGTCTATTTAGAAAGTCAGATATGAAGTTATTTCTGTTTCTATAAGGTCTGTCTCCTTTTATCTACATTATGGTGTTTCAGAAGAGTTCCAATATGCATACAGCCTATGAAAAGGTTTTTATGTCTGTTCCATAATATTAATTTTCTTCCACCTAACCAAGACCTTGATATGCCTGCTTGCTCATTTGTGAGCACTTTCTTAGGGACTATATCCCACTTCCTAAACCTTGTTGAGAATGTACTTACAAAGGATTACAGCATTTCTATCCACCCAAAGTGTCACATTAGAACACTTCTAAACGGAATGCCAGTGATTGCGTTTGTTCAGCACAGCTTGCCAAGCTCTCACTGCACCAGTCACATTCCTTGCACTCAGACACAAACTGCTGCTCTTAGGACACTACGATGGTCCTTAGCATAGTTTTACATTTTTTTCCACCGTTCATGTGGGTACTGTTGTTAGAGTTTGTTTCATGACCAAGTCAAACAACCAGGAAAATAAAAACTCTTTTACTCACACACTTTCAAAGAATCTCTTCCATCTGCCAAAATCAGGCAAAATGCAATCCTTTTGTGAACACAGCCTTGAGTTTCTGTTAGATCCTAAGCATTGTTCCCAGTTCTATATCTCATGACCCACATAGAGTTTGACTCAAGCCAGAGTGGTTCAGCGGTAGAAAAATCCCTGCACCATCGCATGGAAAGTCCCAATACACAAAGGGGACAAAGCAGTCAAAGTCTCTTCAGTGAAATACACAGAAAAAGCACCAACTTTCTTCCAAATAATATTTTTTCCATTGTTGAAGAAAATAATCATAAAATGCAAAAATACCCATGTTCCATGTTATTAGAGTGAAAATAGCAGCCTGAAAATGTACACTTTATTTCATGTTCCTCAAATATGATACTCAAGTAAAAGAAGAAAACCAAGTTAGTCTGATGTAACTAGCTTTGAAGGATTTGGGTTTTCAACCCATCTATCTTGAGCTATTCACAAATTATCCTAATAGGAATCCTTACTTTTTTTTAAAAAAAAAAAGTGCAATATCAACACGCGTACTGATTGAACAAAATTTAAAACATTTTGCAATTCCGTAGCAAAAGTCTTGGATAAGAATACTAACAAAATACATAGAAATAAAGGACTATAAAGCTAATAAGCCAATGATAAAAATCCTGCTAGAGAAATAGATGTTTTAATCACATTTTGTATTTCCTATTGAATTGTTATGTTCTAGAAAAGAGAATGCTTCAAGAAAAGTCAGACCATTTGCCTACTTGTTGAGCAATCTTCCATAGGGGAAAGCTCATACCTAGCCAATAGTCACCCAGGGTCCCATGAAAGAAAACTACTTCATTTACCTTTCCCAATTCCACTGGCTTCAAACGCAAAGTGAAGCCAACGGAGATTGACACTAGAGATGTAGATGAAAGGTATTTTCCTCTTTGGTTGTATGTCTGTCTTAGGATGAAGAGCTCCTCAAACAGAGAAGTTGTGATTACCCAAGGTTTCTTCCCTCAGCTGGGGAGACTGGTGAGGCTCATATATTGGAAGACTGGAGCATCTTTCCCCACTGTACCACTCTCACACACTCCAGAAAATAGCATATTATCAAATTGCATCCTGAATCTAAGGATGAGGAGAGCAACCTTACTTTGGGAATATTGCCAAGGCCTCCTTAACAGCAGGGAGAGAATTGTTTCCAGGATTAGGCCTTGGAGACTTTTGGGCCCCGATGTGATCATTATTATCAACTTACTGGCACTCCAAATCTGCCTGTCCTCAGTTCTCACTATTCCCTAAACTCCACCCAAACTAAAATTCAATGCTTTCATAATAAATCTTGTCACCTGGCTTATCAAACTCTCCAATCTGGAATTACTCGTGATCCTCCTACTTTAAGTCCTACTAGATTCTCAACAACCAAATCAAATTCCATTTTATTTCTTGGAGACTACTATAATCCTCCTACTCAAATCTCCTTTTCTGACTTCTTAAGCAATTTTTATATGATCAACCATATTGGGAGTTCTGTGCCCCTCATGTATTCTGTTCCACAATTCTTTCTCCAAATTAGGGAAGTTTTCTTTTATTATTTCATTGGATACACGTTTAAGCTCAGATTTCTCTTTCTGTGCCTTCTGCAACTCCCATAATTCTTATATTGGGCATTTTAATAATCTCCCTTAATTTTTGAGTACTTCCCTTAGTTTAACTCAGTTCCTCTTCCAGCTTTTTGATGGTTTCCCTGTTGTTGAAGTAAATGTCTTCCAATTCTGAAATTCTTTCT